AAAATTTTTAAAAGCACGAGACTTTTGAAATTATCACACACTAACGAGTCAAGATAAAAAATAATGTGTTAAGATGACTCATAATATCTGTCAATAATCTGAAGACAAGAATTTCTCCACAACTACATTATTAATTTCATTTTCATCAAATTTTCATTTTTCTTTGAGATTATGAATTAATTCTCATTGTTTGCGTTTTCTTTTTATTTTGTAACATAAAATTATACACTTATTATCAGTATAATATATTTACATATAATATATTTATTAATAATAAAGTTATATATTTAGAAAGTTACTGTGTATAATGGTATCAAACAAAATATGCCGATAACTTATTATGCAAATAATTTTAATTCCGATAACTTTTTTATGCAAAATTACGAAAAAATTATTTTTTGACTCAAGGAAAAAATATAAAAATTGAAAAAAAAAAAAAAAAACTAGAAAAAGTAGTGTTAAAATAGAAGGCGGATTTATATTGTTATGTTTTAAAAATTCTTCTCTCACTCATTTTTTTTCTTTCAAAGTTTAATTTTTTAAATGAAAAAGTAGATGAACTTGGCTAAAAAAATTTGCTCTAGTTTTTATCTATTTGAAAAAAAAAAAGAATAAATCAGAGTATAGGTAGAAATAGTTTCAATATCAAAATTTGAGTTTTAGCGTGAAAAACTAAATGAACTTGATTAAAAATTTTTCTGCAGTCAAATTTTTCCTCCAGTCAAAGTAGAAAAATGTGGCAAGGCAAAATTTAATATCTTCAGTCAAGAATTCTTAAATGAAAATATCCACTGGCAGCCATTCTTATCGGATCTACGGATTTACTATCCAAGAAATATTTTAAATAGTGTAAATACTGAATTCAGAATTTTTAGATTATTATCATTCATATAGATCAGACTGGTATAAACGGGGATCTACTCGTCAGAAACTGGAGAGGTGAGTCCATCGGCAGTGTACCTATAATACTATTTTTTTTCTATATTAATGTTTGTGGCGTGCATATTCTAAATTATATGCCTAGCTATGCCATGTCATTACCTTATCTCTTTGAGTCATGTCAGAGCCGATGAATCAAAAAGAGCCCACCGTGACTGGTACTGAGTAACCAGAGCAATTCTAAATAACCAGGGGAGAACCACTCGGACCCAACAAATTTCCGACCCACTAATCTTCATCCTTCCATGGACAAAATGTATGAGAGAAATCATTCTCAACAGAATAAAGCCACACCTGAAAATTCTTCCGTATAACAACAGTGAAATAATTCTGCTAACTGAATTTATCTCGTTTGGTTTTTTCCATAAACAGACCTAAACTGCTCTCATGATCGACAGCCTTTGATCGTGTTTGGTATCAAGGCTTCATTGTCAAATTTTATTTTATGACCACAATTGGACAGCCGATCCAATTTCGGGTTTACGACTACCAATGTTCAACTCAGTGGCCTTGCAAATTTGAACCCAATCCAGGAGACAAGGGAACTCACGGATCAAGTATTGGAAGAAATTTGCCTTAGTGTACTCACGCTGAAAAGATTCAGCTTACCTATAGATATTTTACAGCTCATAACTGATAAAACTTTCTATATTAAATTAACTAGTGCCAAGTTATCTATTACATAGATTCACGAAGGGGTGTCTCAGTTTAGTATCCTAGGACCCACTCTTTATATCTTGAATCTTATTGACATCGGACTTTCCAAAAAAAAGAAAAAAAAAAGATGATAGTAGCATTCTACGCAGTGATTTGAAAATCTTTGAATCCTGATATGACTCTTAAAGAATTTATATGCGAAATGAAAAATGGGGCACCAATTAGCATATTGCTATAAATACGGAAAAGAGCAATCTACTATTAATTAAAAACTCAAGGAAAAGAGCAAACTCAATAAAGACATTACCGCCTTTAACACCGTCTTTTTAGATCATGACTAAGTATCTAGGACTATCATTAATTGTAGATTTATATGGAATGACCATGTTAATGATGTTATTTAAAAAACATGACTTTTTGCAGAAAAATAAATATTTTTTGCAGTTAGGACTCTTGGACGTCTGATTGGTAAATATTCAAAACTGCAACAACATCTAAACAGACTGCTATATTTGAAAGCGATTGGTTCATTTCTTAGGCTTCCCCTGCCTGGTGCACTGCACCAAGAAACATCCTCAACAAAGTTGATGTCATTCAAAACATAATTCTCGAATCCATCATAAACATCCCTCTATTAATTAAGAAATCAGACAGTCGGAGACGACCTCACACGAATTGTCCTTTCAGAAAATACATTGCTAATCTGAATCCGAGTTTCTAAAGTAAGGCACAAAAATGTGACATAATGTATCATAAACGGCCCTCTGTTATGTACGGAATCAGACAGTCAGAGACGACCTCACACCAATTATCCTTTCAGAAAATACATTGCTAATCTCAATGCGAGTTTCTGCAGTAAGGCACAAAAATGTGACACCACAAATTTTATTGATATTTTCAAACTAGAGTTCTTACATGACTTCATTCCATAGTCCCCTGGCAACTTTCCTGCTGTCGGATGGAATCCTCTGCAAATTCTGCGGTAAATAGTATTTAAATAACCTGTATATAATTTGTAAATAGTATCTATTAATGTTAACTTTAATCATAAGTTATTCAATTCATATGCTAAATCTGTGCTTCTGTGCATAACTTTTGTTTCCTTTAAATTTAAATGTTCTCTTTTGTGTTTGTCCTCCCATATTCGATTATTCAAACCACGTTTTTATCACCTTCTACTGTTGCCATGTTAGATAAATCTAAGAGAACCTTCGGGCTGGTACCGAGCAAACAAGACAAGATCCAATGTCCAATTAGCTATCGTGCAATGAGGCTTAAAATGTATGTGTTGAATTGGCCGAAATTCTACTCTATTTAATGATTGATTTTCTACCACATTACAAAATTTTTTGCCCAAAGCCGAGTAGTCGACATCCCTGTAACAGAGTATGAGAATTGACGAAAAATGAGTTAATGACATGAATGTACTTAACACGTTCACGCGGGGGTGACTCACCGGTGGGTCACGCTAGACATGGGTGAAAGCCCTTATATAGCAAGACGGAAAAGAGAAAAACCTGGTACGTAAAACATTTCATTCCAGCATTTTTTTCGAAAAAAAATGAAATATCTGTAACTATCAAGATTTCTTTTATAATTCTGNTGTTCCACTTGGTAAAAAAGTACTTTCTAGTGGTAACGAAATTTAAGTTACTTTTACTTTAGTATTTTTTATTATAAATAATTTTTTCACCACTAAATATCAAAAATTATAAGTATGATATAAACTACAAAGGTAAAGCATCGAACTTCTGTTTACTATATTAAAAAGTAGGCGTAACTATTTTTCTTTAGCGAATTTTACTATATAATTTGCTACCATTTTATTAAAACTATTCCAGAAAGTGGAGCAGTTGGCATCCATGTAGTCTATTGTCCCTTGACAAAATTTCACATGAATATCAGGTTGCAAAGCGCGACATCTATGTGTTGTCACCGAGAAATTAGACAGTCAGAGAGGACTTCACACGAATTGTCCTTTCAGAAAATACATTGCTAATCTGAATCCGAGTTTCTAAAGTAAGGCACAAAAATGTGACATAATGTGTCATAAATGACCCTCTGTTATGTTCAAAATCAGAAAGTCAGAGGCGACCTCAAGATCGAATCTTCTCAGCCAAAAAAAGAAGTAAAAACTCTATACTCCCTGTGCTATCATACTCCCTGTGCTACTTTATGGAAGTGAAACTTGGATCCTAAATTCAGATATACAGCTGACACTAGACATCTTTGAAAGAAAGATCCTCAGAACCATCTTTTGTGCGATTCAAGAAAGGGAATGATGCAATTCAAGAAAGGGAAAGGGCTAGATATAACTTCGAGTTCTATCGACTCTACAAGCAGCCCCAAATTTCACAAATAATTCGCAGTAATGGGCTGAGATGACTGGGCCATCTATGGAGAGGCCCTAAAAATAGCGTCACGAGAATAGTCACCTTAAGAACCCAGAGGGGTCACGTCCCAGAGGCAAACCCCCAACTAGATGGCTCAACGAGATCGAAAATGATTTGAGAACCCTAAAGATTAGAAATTGGAAGGGAGTTGCCATGGATAGGAGCCGCTTGCGTTTGTCAGCTGTTGAGGCTGCCAAGGCCAGCAAGGGGCTGTTGCGCTGACAGAGAAGAAGAAGAAGAAGAGATGACCTCACGCTAATTATCCTTTCAGAAAATTCATTGCTAATCTGAATACCAGTTTCTAAAGTAAGGCAAAAAAATGTGGCACAGCAAATTTTATTGATATTTTCAAACTAGAGTTCCTACACGACCTCATTCAATAGTCTTCTGGCAACCTTCCTGTTGCCGGATGGAATACTCTGCAAAATTTTAAGGTAAATAGTATTTAAATAACCTGTATATAATTTGTAAATAGTATCTATTAATGTTAAATTTAATCATATGTTGTTCAATTCATATGCTAAATCTGTGCTTCTGCACATAACTTCTGTTTTCTTTAAATTTTATGTTTGTCTTTCCATATTCGATTATTCCAAACCACGTTTTTCTCACCTTCTATTGTTGCCATATTAGATAAATCTAAGAGAGCCTTCGGGCTGGTACCGAGCAAACAAGACAAGATCCATCGTCCAATTAGCTATTATGTAATGAGGCATAAAATGTATATGCTGAATTGTCCGAAATTCTACAGTATTTAATGATTGAATTTTTACCACATTACGAAATATTTTGCCCAAAGCCGAGTAGTTGACATCCCTATAACAGAGTATGAGAATTGACGAAAAATTAGTTAATGACATGCATGCACTTAAACAACCGATGTAAAACAAATAATAAACTCCTCAGTTTTTTTTTGAATATTTATTCATTTTTAAAACAAAACATAACTATAGTTTTTTTTCCATAGTTTTTTTCTCCATTTAAACACACACGTAAGTACAACCATACACATCCTAATAACAATATCACTTCATTGATAGTTACACACACAACACAAATCATGACAACATACCATCATGAAAATCTATATACATAGCTGCAGAAACTGTACAAAATGGACGGAAATTCGCCTATATCTTGTGAATGCAAAATGAAAGACCAGTTTAAAATCCATCCACTTCTCCACCTTTCCTATAATCGGAATTGGCAAATATTTGACCACTTTCATCTCGAGCAACAGCCATTATAATGCCTAGCATATTTTCTCCTAATTTTTTCAATTCGTGTCCCTTCTTTTTCATGTCGTCCAAAATATCCTAGAAATAAAAAGAGGATTTAGTTGGCTAAAATTTTTTTAATGCATTAAGAAAAATATTGAACCATAATTTAAATATGGTTAATTAATTAATAGTCCAGTACAAAATTCTTGATCGGACCATCAAGATATTTTAATGGTTTATGCTAGTTTCCTGATGGCCCAAAGCTATTTGATGGTAACCATCATTCAACAATTTCCATTATGTTGTAATGGATTTTGATGGCCTAACAAAAATCCATCATTTTATGTTGGAAGACAGTCTGGCTAGTATACACGCTATTAGAAATACGAAACAAAAGGACCCACACGTGGCAACAACACAAAGACAACTAGAACACCTAGTCAGAAAATGCAACACACAAATACACTGGGTGGCAGCGCACACAGGTAACATAGGCAATGAAGCAGCGGATTTAGCGGCTAAAGACGCAGCAGCAGGTCACGGGATTCCCAGCGGTGTTCTGCTTCCACCATCGAGCCTGAGAAATAAACTTAAAAACATCACACAAAAACTTTGGCAAGCATACTGGGACGAAAATGAAAAAGGCTATACAACAAAATCATATTATCCTAAAGTAGACACAGACCGACTCATAGGCCATCCAGCAGCAATACAATTCCTTACAGGACATGGCTTCTTCCCCTCATTCTTACACAGGATGCAGCGAATAAACACAGACACATGCCCATGCGATGACACAGGTACCCCAAGTCACTACCTACATGACTGCCCACTAACTGAATCATACCACCTCAAAAAACCCAATGAACAAGGCAGAACGATATTTGCAGACAGTTTCAAAAACAAGCATATTATGCAAAAACTAATAAATATTCTAGCCATAACCAGAAACATCACAGACAATATGTCATAAACCTTATAATAACTTTGTAAAAATACTGGCAGCAAATACAATGTTGAGGTGTCAGGGCTCCAGGCAAACCATTGCTGCAGCATAAAAACACACTCTGGCCCCACCCCTGACCAGCAAACATTTGGCAGGCAGTCAGTCAACACAAGCTGTTGTCCGTGAGGCTAAGAAAATAAAAAAAAAAAAAAAAACTCAAGCTCGATCCACACAAACAAGAGATGGCTTAACTGTCTATAAACGCACACACAATAAAAAACAGTAATCTATATCATGATCCGCCACAACACTGCCTCAACTACTACTCATAAGAAAAATAGGTAAAACACGCAACACAACATAAACAAAACATACATACCACACAAGCCTCACCACTGACCCTGCTCCCAGTCCCTGGGGACAGACAGTGAGTCCGGAGCTTTTCAGCTACCCGTGATGGCCATTTATGTTAAATGTTTAAAAAAAAAATAAAAAAAAAATAAATAAAAAAATACCTGTGACGTGGCTAGCTATTTTATATTGTACTGTTATTGTCGATATCCATTCTTTGTGGCTGTAATGTAACGCTGCTAGTTAACCTATGTAAAATTAAATTGTCGCTACTAGGCCGGGATAGCCTGGTCAGTGGGGTGCCGGGCCCATGTCCAAGAGTTCGTGGGCTCGGTCCCTGCTGGTCGAAGACTCCCCGTGTAGTAAATGGTGACTGATGCACGTTAAATCTGTCGAGTCTCAAAGTCCTCCATGTTCCCATAACAAATCAATACCTCTGGGGGTACCGATCCAGGAGTTTCCTTGTCTTCTGGATTGGTTCAAAATTACAAGGCTACGGCGTTGAACATTTGTAGTCGTAAACCCAAAAATTGGGTCGACTGTTCAACGGCGGTTGTAAAATAAAATAAAAACATAAAAAAAATCGAATTTATTAAACCAAGAATCATACATTAAAAGATTATCACTTGAAAATATTTTTTCGCTGTTCGGAGCAATTTGGAATCTCTGTTAAAGCATCGTACGAACCGTACATAAACTCGTATATGTATGTTCACTGGTGGAAAAAATTAAGAGATGGAAGACATTTTCCCAAATATCTCAAAAAATACTGAAGATAAATAAATGAAATTTGGTTTGGATATAGCTTATTCTATGATAATAAAGTATGCAAAACAAAAATGAAAGTGCCATTTATTGGCAAGACCTATTGCCAATAAATCCAATGTAGTCTGAACTTAAGGATAAAAGATGACAATAAAAGTGAGGCTTGTAGAGTGTGTGTTGCCTCTAGTATGGTGTAAGGTCACTCCTGACAGACAGACAGCATGCACAACGAGTATGCATGCTGTTAATAAGGGAGTTAAGAAGGGCTTGTGGAAGACCCTCCCATTCTTCCACCAGAGCAATTTTTAACTCCAGAATGGTTCTGGGGGGAAGTTGGCTCATCGCATTAGCTCTCCCAAGAGCATCCCAAGCATGTTCAACAGGATTCAGGTCAGGGGATTTGGCTGGCCAATCCATTCGTTGAATATCCTCGCTTTCCAGATACTCATCAACCATAAGAGCCCTATGTGATCGCGCATTGTCATCCATAAAAATGAACTCAGGGCCAACAGCGCCCCTGAAAAGACGCACATAGGGCTCTAGGACCTCCTGCCGGTACCTCTGGGCATTCACGGAACCATTGTCAAACACATGGAGCGGCGTGCGGGTATCTTGCATGTGCGAATGAATATGCGAAAATGCTTTCCATCTCTTAATTTTATCCACCAGTGTATAAGTAAGAGATTCTAATAAAAATCTTGAAAATGTTTTTTACTTTTTGGTTTTAATGAAGATTTGACGAATGAAGAAATTTATACAGAATTCGGGTAAAATAACGTGAACTCTTTGGTGCAGTTTTTATTTAGCTGTAAATGCTTTAAAAAATTTCACTTGGCAAAATTGCTCCCTCATTTTAAAAGGTTATGAGTGGCCGGGATAGCCTGGTTGGTAGGGCGCTGGGCCCATGTTCAAGGGGTCATGAGCTCGATCCCCGTCGGCCGAAGAATCCCGTGTAGTAAATGGTGCTTGGTGCATGTTAAATCTGTTGGGTCAGAAACTCCTTCATGTTCCCATAATAAATCATGTATCTGCGGGTACTGAACTGGAGATTAATCGTTCTCTGGTTCAGGTCAAAATCAAGATATTTAGATGAATGGATGGATGTATGAATGGGTCAACCCTATAAATGAGCTGTGACGTGAGTGTCTTGGCTATAGATGGTTCCTCTGAAAAATAAGAAGCGCAACCTATGTCTTAAATTCGCTTGGTTTCACCAAGCGGGCTTGCTGGTATAGAAAATAGCATTAGAAATAACAACAACAAAGGATTATGATTAAACCTTTTAGAAAGGGTGTCGTTTTTACCCATTTAAAATTTGTATATACTAAAATGTGAGGAGGCTTCCTTCGCTGTAAGCACTATCTAATCAAATTATACAATTTCGAATGAGTGTTTAGGTACTTACTTGTGGGAAGTTTTCTTCATGTTCAATATAGTTTGGCAGAAGTTGATGGTGGAATCGAGGAGCATCAATAGCTTCTTTTATTGTTTCATTCAACCACAGGTACCTGAGAATAACCTGCGGAATGTAGAATGAGAGTTATTACAAATCAAAATATAAATAAATAAATAAAACGTACTCATTTTTTAAAAGCTCTTTGGATTATTTCAAGCCTTTTTCACACATGACTAAAGTAATATTTCAAGTTAGAACCCCCCCCCCCAAAAAAAAAAAAATCCTTAATGGTCGTCATGGGTTGCAATCACAGCGCCAAAAAAATTATCGGAGTTAATAGAAATTAGAATGTCTACTGCAGCGCCAATCGCTCGCAGTGTAATAAATTAAATTTATGTGTACCAATAGTTGATTGAAAATAGTAAAGGATTAATTAAATTTGTCAGAAAAGATACCATAGCTAGTAAAAAAGTGTGATAGGGGCCTGATTTAGCCTCTTCAATTTGCATTTCGGCTTTAAAAATATTGTTATAATGAGCAGCTGCGCATTTTTGGTCTTTTTTGCAAAATTGTGTATTAAGTGACATTAATGTCTCTAGGGTCTTTAATTTAAAATTCCAGTGTATGTCTTTATTTCTAATAAAATAGGGGGCATCATTCATCTTTCTAAGTTATTTATTTTGGAATATATTACGCTTCTTTAGCATGTACTTTACTAAAATTGTACCTGGCTGGGAATGCATCGGTAGTTATTGGTTTGATGAAAGTGAGATAGATGTAGCGTTGTTTTTGAAAAATATTTTAGAGTAGCGACCCAGTAGACATCCTAATTTATTATATCTCCCAGTGGTTTTGGCAATTATTTTAATAACATGATCATTCCAGTTCAGGTTTAAATTTATGTATCAACAACAGGAATATCATTTCCAAGAAAAGTTGAGGTATTATTAATTTTAAAAAGTCTGCTTTTTTTTAACATTGAGTAAATGTGATTTTTGTGCATTAATTTTGACCATCCAGTTAGAGCAGCAGGTCTTGAATTTATGTATTTTATATCTGTAATTTATTAATGTCGTTTGTAACAGATCTAGATTTGACTATAACACCTGTATTCTTTATTATCCACAGGGTTGAAAATCTATATAAATGAAGACGAAAAAAAGCAAAAACTGGTGCGAAAGACATTTTTATTCTAGCATTTTTTTCGAGAAAAATAGAATATTTGTAACTATCAATATTTTTTTATTATTATAAAATATATTAAAATTACTTAGCTGTGTTATTATAGATAAATAGTGTAAATATTCTTTCTTTATCTTCAATTTGTTCCCTTTATTATGTATCAGCTTGCGACTTATTTTTATGTATGACTCAGACTTGATTTTATCAATTATTGTTCATTCTGAGATTTAACTTAATGTTAACGCAGCACCTCTCTTCCCTTCCACCACATATTATCCAATTTAGATGAAAGAGCAGATATCCATACATGGATAGGTACTCTGAAAAAAGTTGATTAGTTAGTAGTTAGTTATTATAGAAATCCTAAATTAGTTTTTAAGAAAAGGAATAGAATTACTCCACTCAAGTCCCAACAACAAGTTGTAACCGAGCTGGTCTTATTTTCAGCTCTTCCGCCTCATTCTGTTCCCTGATAGTTCAAAATCCAGCTTTCTGATTTAAATTTTTTCTAGCAAAAATTTATTTTAATTTTGCAAACCCTTAATATTTTTAAAGAATCATCACAGATATTTATCTGGGCGCCAGAGGGTTCTTCAATCATCTTGCAGACATGGACTACATGGTGCCATTTCAATGAATCATACCTGCCGGAAGATTTTATTTTCATATTTAAAGTGGTAGTAATTATATACTATTTTTTTCTTTTATAATCTTAATTTTTAAATGATATTGATCACCACTATTCTTACAAGAATTAAGCACATATATTAATATGCATTACTGTCATGGCAGAGATGCCAACTGCTCCGGACACGCCGAAATAATTAAAAAAACGGTAGATAACTACACAGTAAATTTTCCAAATATTTGACTATATTTGCTTGCTATATTAAATGCATATTATGGCGTAAGTACTGTAAAGTGGTGATTTATATAAGGCTATGAATTATTTAGAAATAGTGGTGGATAAAAATCTATTAAATTGAATTTATTAAACCAAGAATCACAATTGATAAACTACCACTTTAAAATATATATTTGCTGTCCGGAGCAAGTTGGCATCTCTGTCATGGTTGTCAACTTAAGTTTTCTCAAATACAACGTATTTGGATGCTTAAAATTGAAGTTTTAATTCCATTTTAATACCACTGGGAAAAATAATAATGGAAGGGATTAAAAGTTGGCAGGTATGATGAATGTCGGTTACAGGTCATGGGTGAAAGCCCTTATATAGCAAGACGGAAAAGAGAAAAACCTGGTACGTAAAACATTTCATTCCAGCATTTTTTTCGAAAAAAATGAAGTATCTGTAACTATCAAGATTTCTTTTATAATTCTGGCATATATATAAAACTGCTACTTTTCCAAGATAAAGTAGATATTGTTGAAAAATTTAAAAAAAGAATAAGTAAACTCCTCCCCAAATCTAGCTATAACTGAAATGGTTTTACTACCAGCCTTTCCTCTTTTCCGTCTCGCTTTCACCCCTGTTACAGGTGGTGTTTTGGTACAGGTACTTTTTTAATATTATTCATATGTAAAGGCTTTCAAAATCATTATCAATCAACATTTTACCACGATAAAATTATTAAAGTATATATATATATACTTTACACTTTAAAGATTCAGTTCCATTTATTTTAAACGTGATTGTTGTAATTTTTTTAAAAGGGTTTATCATAATCTTGACAAAAATTTTTTTAAATATTTCTTTTTGTTTACATTACGTTACAAATAAATAAAAGCTTGATAACGAAATAATAAAGTATTATTACTTGTGCCACACTAGTTGTTATTTGAGTCCCTCCATTGCCACCAACTGCCAATTTCACATTTTTGTCTCCATCGACGATAATTACTGGCGTCATTGATGACATGGGACGTTTACCTGGTTTAATTTGATTTTTTCCTGTCGGTGGAACACCGAAGTAGTTCGTAATGTTTGGCGATGAGAAGTCATCCATTTCATCATTCAAAAGAATTCCAGTGTTTGGACTCATGATAAGACTGCCAAAACTGTAATAGAGAATGATTTCATTTTATTAATACTATTACCATTTTGGAATGAATTTTGGAGATTTAAAAGAAACGTTGGGTGTAAAAACAAACATTTGCTTGATTCGACTTCCTTGTTCAAAACGATCACAGATAGTTTTTCTAACTTTTTTAATAATCAGTAAAAATCAATTGGTAAATCAAAAGATATGCCAGTAGAAAATTATTAAAAATTTGGATAGGTACTTGTTATGAAATCCTACTGGTACAAGTTAAGTATTAAAATCAATCATTTTACCTGAAGACCAGAAATTGCCGATGATTTAAATAATCATTAAAAAATGCAGAAGTAGATAGAAATGCGTAATTTGCTGCATTCCGCTTAAGAAACCAGATTATTTATTCCTACTGAGTTTTGAAATTAGTAGCAAAGTTTACCAACAGATGGCACTACGAAATATAAAAGCTCTAAGACAATGTTTTCTACTGATGAACAAAATGTGTGCCTTAAAACACCAAACATATCCTTAAAAGAAAGTAGAAATAGATAAGAAAAAATTGTCTATAAAAAGAAGATATGGAAGACAATTTAGGAAAACTGTGAAACAATGTTTTTCTCCTACATGTTAGACCAGTGGTTCTTAACCTATGGGTCGCGACCCAAAATTGGGTCGCGAAGCATATTTCTTGGGTCGCGCTGAGTCGAACCAAAAAAGTTAGTAATACACCAAATAATAAGTAATACCAACACCTTCTAGAAGAAGTCATTGTGGCTTACTCAGCCTAGGCTTAATGAGGTACCTGGGTAACTCTATACCCTTAATCCTCGTTCATAATAATTAAAAAAGACACATGACTCAAAATTAGTTTAGCATATCAAGGTGCAAAATTAATATAAGAATAAAAGATACTTAGTATAAAAGATACTTGGTAGAGTGATCAAGCTGCAGTGCGTATTGTAAAATTGTAATCACCCTAATAATGGCAAAACGTGAATACAAGGAAGCATTTTTAGAATTAGGTTTTACTTGCATTTATGATCGAGGAGTGAACAAGCCGCAATGCGTGTTGTGCAGTGAAATATTAAGTAATGAATCGATGAAACCGAACAAACTTAAAAGACATTTTGATGCAAAACATAAAAATTTTGCCTTTGAGGGAAAAGATTGTACTTTTTTCGAAAGAAAAGAAGCCCATTTAAAAAGACAGCGTTTGGATGCACCAAGTAGTAGTGGTTTAATAAATTCTGCCAAACAAGCTACACTTGGTTCTTTTCATGTGGCTTGGCATATTGCAAGACAAAAGAAACCCCATAATATTGCTGAAAAACTTATAAAACATGCTGCCATTGACATGGCACGTATCAAATGCGGAGATGAAAGTTCAAAGAAATTACAAAAGATACCATTATCAAATGATACAATTCGTTTACGAATTAATGATATGTCATTTGATATTAAGAATCAACTTATTTCTGCTATAAAAATTGCTGGTTTATTTAGTATTCAACTGGATGAAACGACAGATGTAAGTAAAGATGCTCAACTCATGGTTTATGTGCGGTATCCAGGTTTAACAGATATACAGGAGGACATTTTATTTTGCAAACCAATGTCAACAACAACTAGAGGTGAAGATATTTTCTTATGGTCGATTCGTTTTTTAAAGAAGAAGGATTAAATTGGAATCAGTGTTTCAGTATTTGCACCGACGGTGCAGCTGCCATGACAACATCTCAAAAGGGATTTTCGACAAGAGCAAAACAAATGAATCCACAAATTATATCGATTCATTGTTTGTTACATAGACAAGATCTTGCTTCAAAAAAATTATCACCCGATATATGCTCTTAACTGTAGAATTTTCCGCGAACTGTGTTTCGAATCTGGTGCAGAATACGAACATTTATTATATTATTCTGAAGTTAGATGGCTGTCCCGGGGCAAAGTTGTTCAAAGAGTATTATCATTACGGACAGAAGTCGAATTATTTTTGAGAGAAAAGAAACACCCATTAGCATCTAAATTCTCCGAGTTGAAGTGGATTACTCAAGTTGCTTATTTGTCAGATATTTTATTTGAAATAAATAATCTAAATACGTCTATGCAAGGACGTAATCATACTATTATTGAATTAACTGAAAAAATTACATGTTTTAAAAATAAACTCAAATTATGGAGAAATAAGGTTGAAGTAAAGAAACTTGCTTCATTCCCGACTCTTAATTTACTTGTTGAAGACAATAATATTGATATCACAGATTTTGAAATACAGAAAATTATTATTAATCATTTAGAAAAACTAATAGCAGACTTTGATCGATATTTCCCTGCAGACGATGTTTTCAAATATAATTGGGTTCGAATGCCATTTAATTTTGATGTAAGTGATTTGCATGAGGAATTTGTTAATATTAATCAATTTCAAGAACAATTAATAGAAATACAAAGTGACCAAGCACTTCGATACAATTTCTACAAAAACACTGAATCTTTATGTGCTTTCTGGTTAAAATTAAAAACCGAAAAGCCAATAATTGTTAAAGAAGCCCTAAAAGTATTATTGCCCTTTTCAACAACATCTGTGTGTGAAGCTGGTTTTTCGGCTCGGTGTGTAATCAAAAACAATTACCGGAACAAGTTAAATCCTGAAATAGATATAAGGTGCTCCTTGACAAGCATTCAACCGAGGTCTTTCAAAATGTATTCGAGCACAAGGTTCTCATTAAAACTGTATGACTTGCATTTAAAATTTAAAAGACTTAACATATGTATAGATATTTCCTTTTTTTTTTTTTTAGGAAAAAGTTAAAATGTAAATTATTTTCATAAAGTTATAAATATATTTTAATTTGGTCAATGAAAATTATTAAAAACACTTGATTATTAATTAAATTTTCCTTGGATCGAAAAGTACTTTTGTTTATCTTTATTATTAAAAAAATAAATAAAAAATTTTTAAGTTAAAAAAAATCATCATCGTAGGATTGAAGATATTTTAAAAATACGATCTAAAATAAAGCAATAAAAAAATTTTGACTTTTTTTTGGGTCGCGACATGAACATATTTCTCAAATTTGGGTCGCGGCTTAAAAAGGTTAAGAACCACTGTGTTAGACTATTCCAACTGAAATATTTTCAGTTAATTTTGAAGGGTGTCTGTTAATTTTGACCTAATTTTCTTGCAGCTAAGAAAAGTTATTTTGTAAACATTTTTATATAGTTTTAAAAATAGCGCCAACTATTAATGACTTTCTGAATTAATGTTAAAATTTGGGAATAAATATCTGGTTTCTTAAGTAACAGTAAATTCCTTTCTTGAATTTATTATACTATTTAACATTTTTATTTCTCCTTCCATTTTCCGTGTATTGATTTTCTAAATCGTCTCTCACTTTAGATACTTCAGATACAAAGACAATACATTTTATATTTACAAGCTTTTTTAAAATTAAAAAATTTAGTTATTAAAAAATTTAAGGCTTTGTAGGGCTACAAGTAGCACTAAGAAACCAAGATTTATTTATTTATTTACTTATTTCTTTAAAAAAATTTTTTTTTAAAATGTAATGAATAATTTTTTTAAGCGAAACATAACTAAAGATATAATTTTGGCATTAGCAAGTAAAGTTTTGGGAATAAATGTGATAAATAAGCATTAATTACTTACTATTGGTTTACAGTTGAAGTTACTGATACTGCATCGCCATTTGGTGCAATCAAGGATAAATGCGCAGTTCCATGATCATCTTGTACAGTTATGTTCACTCCGTAATAATCAGGTTCATGAGTTTGGTAATCATCTATTTTTCCTCTTACTTCATCGGCATAATCTTTACTCATTAACATTTTTATCAGCTAGACACAAAAAATCTTTATTTAGAACAATAAGATGAGTTATTTTAAACAAATTTATTCAATCGATTACAATACTAATATTTATAAGGATATAAGATAGACGAAGATCCATCTTTCTAAAAGAAAGATTTAATCAATGACGAATTGTATAGCATCCATTTTATTTTGCAAAATTAAATTTTACTGTTCGTTTTTCAAAATTTTGTTTTGTTCTTTAAAATAGTCTTTTTTTTATATCAGTGATCTTGCTTGACTCATTAAGTTATAGGTCTGCGTTAATTAATAGCACAATTTAGGTAGGATGTTCAAACCATGATGATATAATTTTAGTAAGTAAAAAATTTTGATTATTTAGTTTAAAAGTTATTTACTATGTAACATTTTTATTTTGTGCACTGTAAATTGAGCAAATAAGTAAATAAATAAATAATAGATACCATCTAGAATAACTTTTGTTTTAATGATCATATTCCTAGGGACTAAGTTCAATAATACAGGAACAATCAGTTCACTAATTCAAAAGGGTTACCCGAAATATGTTAATTAATTCGTGCTAATAATTAAATAAGTTTTGGAAACTAAAGGAACGTATTTTCTCTGAATAAACGCATATTTTTTTTACGACGCATTTGGATTTTGGCCCATCAAAATAAAGGGAGTAGCCGCAATATGGAAAGTGTGGCCGTCAGGTTTTTGAAAAAGAAATAAAAATTTTTTTGCACACCTTTACAAAATCCGTCTTTTCAAGGATAATTCCATGGAAAAATAATTCTTAATAACTACGTATTATTTTTCTTACTTTTTTTTAATAGTGTTTGAAGTTATGAATTGTAATGTATAAAAATTGTAATACCATCTCAAACCGTGCAATTTCAAATGACAAAATATAAAATTTGAATAAACGAGATCAAATGAAATTTTAAAAGGATATAGTTCTTTTTAAATTTTATATTTTCAAGCTCCCCCCAATGCTTTGATGGTCGAAAATCCAAATTCGTAGAAAAAAAAGGGAGATGATTGTTCAGAGAGAGTATTTTTTTATGTCTGAACTTTCTTGTTAAGATTATTTGTAGTGGTAACGACATAACAGTTGATTTTATAATTGTAAGCTAGCATTATTTCTATTCATGGCTAATTGCACTCTGGAAAAGAAAAAAAAGAAACTAGAATTAAAACACTTCATTTCTAGACTTCTTAAAAAGTAAAGAGAAAGCTTTTTCTATATTTGATTTTGAATGTATCATTTTTTAACCATTATATACTTTTTAATAGGTAAAAAACAGACCTGTTTATACAGATGGGTGACAAAATGAATGGTGAAGATAGCAAAAGGTTTCACTTTTATTCCTCTAAGATTCCAAAGAGAGGAGAGAATAACAACTCTTCTTTAGTTCTAATACCAGTAATTATGAAAATCATTCAATGGCAATGGTATTTTGATACAAGAATACTCTTATAATTATAGTGGTATTGAAATAGGAAAGAAGCTTTAAACGTCCTCTCCTCATTTTAGTCGATGCAACTTTTACATGGTTTCAAAATGAGTACACCATTTCTTAAATTTTCGAGCATGATCTTTCAAATTGTGCAAACAATATTGTCATGTAAGTCTAATAATCATCAATTGAAAAACAACGAATCATGCATTAAAACATAAACTTGAAGAAATTTTTCCCAAAAAGCATATAAAGCTGGAAAATCCGCATATAAACATCGAGCTAATCAAGGAAGCAGTCAGAGGAAAATGTGATAAATCATATCGCTCATGGGCTGCAGTAGCGGCACAACTAAAAAAAAAATCATGTTTTGAGATAAGTGGGTTTAAAGTTTTCATTCCCAAGGAAAATGCATAAGAAATGATTTCGTCTTCTTAAACGAAGATTACTTTTAAGTTGAATTATGAGTTGTGCTAGTATTGCAGCTGAAAGAATGTTTATTTTCATATTTACACCTGTACTTAGTCCAAAAATCGTATTTTTTGAGTTGTGCCACTATTGCAACCCACGAGCGAAATGATGACAGAAAGAATCTTATAAAATTTATCGATTACCTCTTTCGTTTCTGGGGAATCGCTGTCTTCCAGATGCATTCGACTGGCATAAGCAAACTTGAAAGTTTCGATAATTCTGTGTAGAGCTAATATTGTTTCATTTCTAGAATATGTTATATTAGGCAGGAACTCATCATAGCCATCCAACACATTCAACATGAGTGACAATAAAGCTCCACTCCCGGGTAAAGAGGGGGAGTAAAGTGTCAGATTGCCACGCAGTTTTATTTTTGTTGGTTCTCTAAGTTCTGGTATATAAGATTCCAAGTCCTTCCTTGTGATGATGCTGCCTAAATAAATTGTTAAAAGAGAAATGTTAAATGGAAACAGCTGAAATATATGTTACTTTAATATTAGTTAAAGGAAACAAGATGTTTTTACTGATCGTCTCTGATTTTACTTCTTAGTATGAATTGTAAAAATTTGATTTCTGGGCGATTCAACTCCGCTGCACAACAACGCTGATAATTTTCAGTGATATCAAAAAGTATTGTAAATGGAACTATTTTGTATTTGAAAATAATTGCAAATAAATATTCCAAAATTAATTACATAAAGAGTATGTGTTTTCATATTCCAATGTAGATACATATCTATATTTCCGCAGTTTCAAAAAGTATCATTCTATAGGTAAAAAACGTAATGCATTAATATTTTAATAAATTAGAATTCAAAAAATTTTGTCTACTACTACACATAAATAATTGAAACAGTTATATAAGCGGTGACAAGGCAGGGGAACAAGTTTTATCTCTGTTGCATGAGATTTTTGAACAGATGGCAAATATTTTTGCTTCGTTAGTTTTACCTCTGCAATCGGTGTCTCTCTACAAGATATAGTTTTCATGCAATTTAACAGTATATTCCTAATCAGGATTCTTTCAATGCTCACTCCAGTGAATACTAAGTATACCCACTTCTTTGCTACGTAGGGAGTAGTAGGATCAAGGTGATAATATAGTTAAGTTTATAATGCATTACTTTAACCTACTGGCAATTTAGCAAATGGGCAAAACTGGGAGCAGGTTTCTCCCCAATATATCACTTCCCTATCTAATAACATGGAAAACCGGTTTCGCTGTGCGGAGAAGACTACAAGGTTATAATACGAATTTTTAAGTACGGAACAATTAGTGGGCTAAAATCATACTGTTTTTGTCCTGAGTGTTATATTCAAAGGAACCGAGAAGTGTATATGTATGTATATAAACGTAGGTTCCTTATGAACTCGTACATTCAGACAAAAAATAACTAATATCATAAAATAAACTAAAAAACTAATCATGTCGAAATAAATCTGTAGCTTACTGAACCAAGCTAATTTCAGATTTGAAATCCACAGACCCGAGTCAAATAAGATCAGTTACTCTCATAAATGCAACAAAAAATTGCACCAGAGTGTAATTGATCATGCTTTTAAATACTAATAGTTTTTCGAATGCTATCTGCTTAAAATAATTGCTTTAGTCCGTTACAACTGGAAAAAAACATTTCGCGAAAGTTTCAAATGTTTGACGGTATGTAGATGTTGCGCAAATCTGACAATAAATTTGTTAAAACATTAACAATTAAAATTGTCAACATTATTATGTTACATCGCATATGTTGTATGTACAAAGATGATATCAAACGTTCTAAAAATAATGATAGCATAACGTTTGAGCGTTATTACAATGTAATGCAAAAGTTTTTTTTTTAAATCTCTATAAATTTTCTATTAACTCGTTGAGCGTCGCGTCAGCCATCGGTGACACTGAACTTTCCATTTAGGCCGCGTCGGTGGCTGACACTGAAATTACGTTTAGGCTGCGTCAACCACCGGTGGCTGACACTAAAATTACATTTAGGCTGCGCCTGCCACCGCTTGCTGACACTGACCTTTCACATAGGCCGCGAAAAACAGCTGGCTGACAGCGTATAACATGATATAGAACTATAAAATTTACACTCTTTTATGGAATTGCAGAAAATGTATTCAAAATTTTCTTAATTATTGTGATTCTTGATTTAATAAATTCCATTTAGTAGATTTTTATCCACCACTATTTTTAAGCAATTCGTAGGCTTATATAATTCACCACTTCTTTCAGGTATGCATGCCAAACCTTTTATAAACTAGTCTATATTTGCAAAATCTGCTGGTAGCCTCTGTTGCATACGCTTTTTCTCGCTCCTTGAATATTTTGATTTTACCCATTGTTTTAAGTCTAATTTCACTTATAATTATAAAAATTTGAAAATATCAATTTAATGTTTTAGTAAGCAAGCTTTCTATACATAAATATTGCTTCAAACAATGTCTTCGTCAAAAATTTTGTGTAAAGCATGTACCGAACCAATTCTGGAAGACTCAGATGGATTAACATGCAAAGGTGAATGCAATTCTGTTTTTCATTTTCATTGTGGTGGTTTCGCTGAAAGAGCTTTTAGAAGACTTACTGTTGATAAAAAACAAAAGTGGACCTGCGCACAATGTTCAAAATCACAGGAAAATCCAACGAAAATAAAAAGTGCAACTAGCCCAGACATTCTCGAGGATATCTTACAGCAAAATAAAGACCTAAAAGAGTTAATAACTAACAAATTCAATGACTTAACCCGTTCAATTGAATTCAACAGTGAAGTAATTCAAGAGTTGAAAAATTCTATCACAGAGCTACAGAACGTAAACAAAACTTTACAAGCAAAAAATGATCAGCTAACTAGAGAAAGCGCAGAAATAAAGAAGGAACTGAATGAACTAAAAGAAGCAGTTATTGAACTCAAGCAATATTCCCGAAGATCCAACTTTGAAATAAGTAACTTACCCGAATGTGAAAATGAAGACATACAACAAGTAATATCCCAGATTGATAATGTTGCGAATACTAATATATCCGAAAATCTGATCACCGCTCACAGAGTCCCCAGCTTTAATAAAGATAAACCTAAACCCATCATCGTTCAAGTTAAATCCAAATCTGTACGNAAAAAAAGTACGAATTTATGTGGTACGAAATGTGGAGGAATAGTGAAAATTCTTATGAATCCCTCGAATACATCGATTTAGTTATTGAGGCCACACCGTTTTATCTAGCTGTAGCGGAGGCAATCAAAATTGGCCTAACTCTTGGCCTCAGCTACTACTTGCACTATTGAACGCACTTTTAGTACAATGCGACACACCAAAATATGGAATCGGTCTACAATGCCTCACGAGAGATTAAGTAGTTATGCTCAGTGTGCATAAGAAGAGAATCAAAGATAACTCAGAATTCATTGAACAAAAGCAGATTTGGACAGCTAACAAGACGATTGCAAATCTTGCTTGATAAAACATTTTTTTAATTATTACGTATCAATAATTACTTAATTATTTGTTTTCGAATAAAAATATTTTTAATAAAATTTTTTTTATACTCTATAATTGTTTATAAATAAAGCCAGGGGGGTGCAAGTGCACCACCTTGCACCCCGCTGCCGGCGCCCTTGTATATAGTGGTTTTGAAATAGGAAAGAAGCTTTAAACGTCCTCTCCTCATTTTAGTCGATGCAAATTTTACATGGTTTCAAAATGACACAATTTCTTGAAGCTTCGAGCATGATCTTTCAAATTGCACAAACGATATTGTCATGTAAAATCATCCAAGACAATCATCAAATTTTTAAAAAAAAAAAAAAAAAAAAAAACGAATCATGTATTAAAACTAGAAGAAATTTTCCCCAGAAGCATAAAAAGTTGGGAAATCTGCTTATAAACATCAAAATAATCAAGGAAGCAGTTAAAGGAAAATGTGATAAATCATATCGTTCATGGGCTGCATAGCGGCACAACTAAAAAAAAATCATGTTTTAAGAAAAGTGGGTTTAAAATTTTCATTCCTTAGGAAAATGCATATGAAATGATTTCGTTTGCTTAAACGAAGATTACCTTCAAGTTGAATTATGAGTTGTGTACTTAGTCCAAAAATCGTATTTTTTGAGTTGTGCCTCGATTGTAGCCCATGAGCGATATGATGACAGAAAGAGTCTTGTAAAAGTTATCGATTACCTCTTTCGTTTCTGGGGAATCGCTATCTTCCAGATGCATTCGACTGGCATAAGCAAACTTGAAAGTTTCGATGATTCTGTGAAGAGCTAATATTGTTTCATTTCTAGAATATGTTATATTGGGAAGGAACTCATCATAGCCATCCAACACATTCAACATGAGTGACAATAAAGCTCCACTCCCGGGTAGAGAGGGGGAGTAAAGTGTCAGATTGCCACGCAGTTTTATTTTTGTTGGCTCTCTAAGTTCTGGTATGTAAGATTCCAAGTCCTTCCTTGTGATGATGCTGCCTAAATAAAGTGTTAAAAGCGAAATGTTAAATGGAAACAGATGAAATATATGTTACCTAGATATTAGTTAAAAGAAACAAGATGCTTTTACTGATTGTCTCCATTTTTACGTCTTAGTATGAATTGTTAAATTTATAAATTGGGTGATTCTTCGTAAAGAAATGCGCAACAACGCTGATAATTTTGAATGATATCAAAAAGTATTGTAAATGGAAATATTTTGTATTTGAAAATAATTTCAAATAAATATTCTAAAATTAATTACATGTATGTGTTTTCATATTCCAATGTAGATGCATACCTATATTTCCGAAGTTTCAAAAAGTATGATTCTTATAGGTAAAAAAGATAATGCATTAATATTTTAATAAATATTAATGAAATACTCAGTATTAATGCATTAATATTTAATTAATAAATTAGAATAAAAAGAATTTTGTCTACTACTACATATAAATAATTGAAAAAGTTATATAAATGGCCACTTAGACAAGACAGGGGAACAAGTTTTATTTCTGGTGCATGAGATTTTTGAATAGATGGCAAATATTTTTGCTTATTTTACATCTGTCATCGGTTTCTCTCAGCAAGATACAGTTTTTATGCAATTTAATAATATATTCCTAACCAGGATTTTTCGTTGCTCACTCCAGTGAATATTAAGTATACACACTTTTTTGCTACGTAGGGAGTGGTAGGATCAAGGTGATAACAAAGTTAAGTTTATAATGCATTTCTTTTACCTACTGGCAGTTTAGCAAATGGGCGAAACTGGGAGCAGGTTTCTCCCCACTTCCCTATCTAATAACATGGAAAACCGGTTTCGGTATGGGGAGAAGACTGCAAGGTTAAAATACGACTTTTTACGTGCAGAACCGTCAGTGGGTTAATATTATATGGTTTTTGTCTTAAGTGTTATTTTCAAAGGAGCCGACAAGTGTATATGTATGTATATAAACGTAGGTTCCTTATAAACTCGTACATTCAGACAAAAAATAAATTAAACTAATCGCGTTGAAATAAATCTGTTGCTTACTCAACCAAGCTAATTTCAGATTTTAAATCTACAGACCCGAGTTAAATAAAATCAATTGCTCTCATAAATGCAACAAAAAATTTGCTCCAGAGTGTAATTGATCATGCTCTTAAATAATAGTTTTTCGAATGCTATCTGCTTAAAATAATTGCTTTAGTTTGTTATAACTGGAAAAAACGTTTCGCGAAAGTCTCAAATGTTGAACGGTATGTAGATGTTGTGCAAAACTGACAATAAATTTGTTAAGACATTAACAATTAAAGTTGTCAACCTTATTATGTTACAACGCACATGTTGCATGTACAAAGATGATATCAAATGTTTTAAAAATAATGATAGCATAACGTTTGAGCAACAATGTAATGTAAAAGTTTTTTTTTAACACTAGGTTTATGGATGTTTCTTATATAACTATCTCTACGAACACGCTTCAATTTGACGCATGAACCAATACATATAACAGCATTTACAGAGATGCCAACTTCCTCCTGACAGCAAATATATATTTTAAAGTGGTAGTTTATCAATTGTGATTCTTGGTTTAATAAATTCAATTTAGTAGATTTTTATCCATCACTATTTCTAAATAATTCGTAGGCTTATATACTTCACCGCTTCGTATTTGCAAAATATCTGCACTTGGAAAGCAATTTAATTATATACTATAGGAAAAAATATGAGATATATATTTATGAAATGTTCAAGTATTTTATTTTTTAATACTCGAACTAAGCAACTGAAACCTTCAAAATCTGACATAATTGACATTCTGCGTTTGTTCTTTCTATTATTGCTAATCGGCAACAGTTGTTTATCGCTTGTTTCATTTGAGATAACGGATCGAAGTATTGTCGGTACATTCCTATTTATTATTGATGTGAAGTTTGCATGGTTACGTTACTCAAAAGTTTGTCTAAATTACGATAGCGTCAAATTGACGCATATCCGTAGAGATAGGTATACCACAAAGATAATTCCAATATTTCAACGCTTTTGAAGAAAGTAGACTTCAATATATACTTACCTCAATCAATGGATGAAAGTCATTACAAGAGATAAAATAAAAATGCGAACGGGTTTTGTAATTTTTCTTATAAAATTCACAATGAGTCAAAATGACGCGTCCCGTAAACCTACTGTTAAAATCACTTTGAAAATCTTCTATAAATAAAAATTGCATACGTTTTTTTAAACTTTAATAGAATAAAATTATTATATAATAATATAATAGAATAAATATTAATAGAATACTAAACTTAGAAATTATTATTTTTTCATTATCAAGATAAATTTAAAAACTTATATCCAAATATACCTGCTTTTTCCAAATCTGTTAAGAAGGTATCCGTTATGTTACTCTGTCCATAAAGAGCACTCCGTTTTTCTTCAGAAATAATTCTTAGAGTTTTTGCTAAATCTAATCTTTTGTATACATCTCCTTCTTTGTATACATCTCCAGTTTCAGGATTAGCAAACACATTCCTGGAATAAAATACACATTTCGAAAAGCCAAATTTACTAAATGTTAGCTTGTTAACAATATTTCGAAATGCTATTCTCACAATTTTTAATTTTTTTGTTAATATTAAAACTGTGTTAATATTTTAACGCATTGTTAGCATGCTTGTATGTTCATAGCATTTATTGTTTTTACATATATTACTGATACACATACGTAAGTTGATTTAAAAATGCATGATAGCATGATGCATGATTTAAAAATGCATAATGGCAGTATAAATTCGACACGAACTATGTACATACCAATTAAAAGAGGAAGCTTCTAAGTTTTTAAACGTGGATTATAAGTGTTAAATGTGTCTCACCCTCGTTGTACAGCATACATCTAAATGGTTCCCAAACTCCGTTCACACGCAAAAATGTTTAAAATGGTGGCAACATTTCTATTTGATTCTCATACCTGCCAACTTTTAATCCCTTCTATTATCATTTTTCCCACTGGTATTAAAATGGAATTAAAATTTCAATTTTAAGCAAAAAAATAAGTTGTGTTTGAAAAAACTTAAGCTGACAGCCATGATAGTAACGCATACTAATATATGTGCTTAATTTTTTTAAGAATAGTGGTGATCAAAATCATTTAAAAATTAGGTTTATAAAAGAAAAAATAGTATATATTTACTACCACTTTAAATATGAAAATAAAATTTTACAAGAATCAGTCTTGTTCGAACAAATTTAATTTTATTTGATTTTGAATACCACTACATTTAAGTAGTATAATATTATATGGTATAGGAGTTGGCTAATTAACAAGTATATATGTCTGCATGCCAATGTCATGGCTGAAAGTCCTTAAGTAGCAAGACGGAAGAGAACAAATATTGGTACAAATAACATTTCTTTCTAACAATTTTATAGAGAGAAATATAATATGGTGCGAATGGCATTTCATTCCGGCAATTTTTTCGAGAAAAATAAAATATCTGTAACTATCAAGGTTTCTTTCATATTTTTAGCATATATAAAACTGATTCTTTTTTTTATAGATAAAGTTAGATATTGTTGAATAGTTAAAAAAAAAGATGTAAACTCCTCCCGAAAACTAACTTTAACTGTGGTTTTACCACCAGGTATTCCTCTTTTCCGACTCGCTTTCACCCCTGGTCAATGTATAAAAAATTTCAATGTTACTTAGATTGTATTCTACAATGTATTAGATTTTCACAACAATTCCAAAATCACTTTTTTGAAGAGCTTGAAAGATGGCAGTTATGCTACAAGCTTGTATTCCTAAGTGCAGTGCACTAGGCTGGATTCGTTAGTAAAGGTAGGACGAAAATAATATCCTCAACATAGCCCAGCAGGAAAAAAGTTATATGGCTTGACAATAGAAGCTATTGCTTACAACTTACCAAGTCGCTTTATTACTCAGAACTTATAACTGCTGTGGAAACAAAATGAAAGTGTACCTAACCACACCTAATGCAACGGTAAAAAAGAAATTGAACCATTCTTTTTTCATTAATATTTATATGTATTTATTCATTATATGTATACTACTAAGTTTCTACCGTTTTTTTTTCTTTTAATTTTAACATTTCGTTTGTTATTAACTGTTTTGATCATGTCTTATACCATTTGAAAGAGGATGGATCAGTTGGATTGAATACGGACCATTTGAATGGAAGATGGAGAAGAGGGGCTTATAGACCTTAACCCTTTAGCGCCGACTGTCACAAATACGTGCCAGCGTAAAACCGTATCAATCAGGGAAAAAAGATAAAACTGGTAATCAAAGTAATTCTTTAACCGTTTATTTGTGGGCGGAGTTATAATTGTTTGATTTATTTAATTCACCATTACTTTGTTCAAAATAAAACTATTTAGTTATACTTTGAATTAACATTGATTATATATATGATTAAACTAACAATAACTAAAGTAAAAGCAAAGTCTGTCAAAGTAGCAACGACTACATTTAAGTTACCGTTTTTTATTTAATTACAACTTGATTCTGATTTTATACGAATGCTTTTCTGAATCCCCAGTCCCCAAGGGGTTAATTGAGCATGCAAGCGTAACCACAATTGTTAATTCGCTACCATTTTACACATCGTTTGGAGATGGGATTTTTGAGTGGGAATCTATGTGAATGATAGAATAATTAAAAACCGATACATTTTTAAATTTTCAGTTAAAAAAAGTATTTAAGAATGTAAGTAGAGTAAAATATATGAACCTTATATGCTCACGGTCTAGTATTTTTTCTCTGTATTTACGTAATGCTCTGGCTAAATGACGGTTGACTGTAATGCCTTCTTCACACATTTTTATTGTTGGAGGAAAAAGATCTTCCCACGGTAGCTTTCCGAATTCGTCATGAACAGAAACATATCCAGCTAACTCACCAGGTACAGCTATAGACAGAGGGCCTGCAAAAATGATTAAGCAATAACTAAAGAAGTCAGGATAATATGATTTCTATTGCATTTTCAGAAATCATTTATACCTTTATAAAAGTGAAAAAAAGAACATATATGATGATCCTATTGTGAATAAAGGGGCCATCCTGGCCGAGTGGTACCACCCGCCAAACGCTATGCCAAGCGTGGAGGTAGCGGGTTCGAATCCCGCTGTTACCCTGGATGTATCATTGTACTGCCCTTCTATTTGAAAAAGGCTTATAAGCCTTAATTGAGCACACAAGCCTAAAAATGTTTGTGGTAACTATAAATAAATTGAAAAAAGAACCTTAGGCATACCTGCCAACTTTTGATCCCTTCCATTACGATTTTTCCCAGTGGTAGTAAAATGGAATTAAAATTTCAATTGCAAGCAAAAAAATACGTTGTGTTTCAAGAAACATTAGCTGACGACCATGATAGTAACGCATATTAATATATAAGCTTAATTTTTGTAAGAATAGTGGTGATCAAAATCATTTAAAAATTAAATTTATAAAAGAAAAAATAGTATATATTTACTACCACTTTAAATATGAAAATAAAATCTCCGTTTAAATACGGGAGAGTTGGCAGATATGCTTAGGCCATAACGCAACGCAGAGATGCCAACTGCTGCGGATATGACAAAATATTTTTTAAAAAAAAACGGTAGAGAACTACAACCTAAAGTTCGCCGATTTTCAGTTAATTTTGCTAACCTTTTTGAAGACTCTACACGCATACTTTTCAACTTTTATGCTTTTCAAGAGTTTTCCTAATGGTAGGGTAAAGCCCCCTCACGATTTCTTATAGGTAGTCCGATTAGACCCCTATGAAGGTAAACCAGTATACAAAGGAGCCATTTAATAGAAAATCTATTAAAAATTAGAAAGTGGTGGCAAATATATGTCCAAAATATTGTTTAATTTATGAATATGATTGGTTTTTCTTATTTACTTGTAAACCACTACAGATTCAATTCTCAAATATACATGAACAATTTCTGTCAAGTACTTTTAAAATAGAATTCGGGTTGATGCGCACATCTTTCGCTTTTTAAATATTCTGCGCATTTGGCTTTTTAAATATTCTGCGCAGACTACGTATGAAATCCCGTGTGAAGGCTTTCTGATGTAGGTGGTGATGGAAAAGCCAATGGAATTGAGATTGTATGTTGGTGTTTCGCATAAATTTAGCCAACAATTAAAAAAAAACTGTTGGCCTGGAAAGTGTAACTGGGCAACCAAGGCGAAAAATTTTTCTACCACTTTAAATATAAAATCTTCCGGAAAAACCGTAAGAGTCAGCAGTCTTACGGTTTCGATCTTACGGTTTATATCTGCAATAAAGTTGCATTGTATATGAAAAATTCTAAACTTTGATTATGTAGCGGGGAAAAAATAATTTAAAATGAAATCATGAAACTAAAAATAACTTAAATTTTGCTACCAATCGAAAATATTTTTTTTTAATAAATAAATTCGAAATTTATTTATAAAAATTAGTTTTTGAGAAGAAGTGGTAATTAACAGAGCCGCAAAGAGCAATATTCGGTTGTGAATTTTGACAACGTTAGACTCTGGTGAAATTCTGTGTCATGTCTTTTAGACTTTTATAGGTTTCATCTGTTATTTTAACCGTTGATGAAACTTTGAGTGCAAAGGGCTTACACAGTATGTGTTTGCATTAAACTAAAATGGAATTGGTACACAGTAGTAAAGACAATAATGAATGTAGCTCTACCAATTTTAGCTGCTGTAGCGTTTCCTTCAAACATATTTTCAGTTGCTTTACGGGGTGCAACTTCACGGGCATCTATAAAATGAGTAGTGTCTTGAGCCCTGTAAAGAAAATATTTAATTGATTTTTTTATTTAATTAAATACAAAAAAAACAATATAATAACAAATAGGAAATAATAAAATTACTAAGTTTATTTTTATTTATTTATTTTTGAAAAATGTACATAATAATTCTGGCATCTAGTATACTAAGAATTTAAATACCATTTGTTTCACTCAATTCTCACAATTTGTTTCACTCATACCAATTGTTTCATTCATGTGAGGTGAATACATCTATAAATTTCTGTTATAATTGTGATCCACTCATTTCAGATAATCAAAGAGTAACAATAATTCAGCATTGAAATTTCTTTAATTAACAAAATTAATTACTGATAAATTTTGAAAGAAAAATATTTTTTTCAAATACTTTTTTTTCGATTTTATATTTTAGTAATAATATAATACCGACGATGTAGGAGATTTTTTAGTAACTTTTAGACTGTTTTTCGTAATTAAAAAATAACAATATATATTTTTGTCCGTAATTAGAGTGCCGGAAAAAATGTATAAAAGGGACACATGTGTCTCATTTTCGTCAAATAGTTAAAAGTAAGCAGTTTTTTCTTTCTAAAGTGTTTATAATAAAATGATAGTTATAAAAAAGCATGGTTTAAATGGCATGGTTTAATGTTCCGTTACCCAATAACTATAAACGTGCAAAAAGTACTACTTCACTACAAGCTCTTACATTTTTTATAGTAGAATCGAGACAGCTTTAAACAGTGTTTTCTTTAAATTCTTTCAATCTATAGCATTATTACTTAACATTTTTGGTTAATTTTGTAATTTGCCTCTAAACACCATAAAAAGTTAATTGCAGTCTTATCATTTCATAAATTCTAATTGGACAAAAAAAAAAAAAAAAAAAAAAAAAAAAAAAAAAAAAAAAAAAAAAAAAATACTGCGAATATGATCTTTAATTAACAAAGGAGTTCTTGGCATATTTGGCAGACAAAAAGAAGCAAGGCATTTCTAGTGCAGCAAGGAATATATTTACGTTTTAGGGAAAAATTTCTTCTGGTTGTAGATCATGGTAAAGTCTTCAATGTTTCGAAATTTTGATTTAAAATTATTTTCCTTATGCTAAGTAAAGAGCTTACATAAAATACCACTTTCTTTCAGTTCCCTCTTGGTGAAGCTTTAAAAATGTTAGCAAGTTTTCCAAAAATTCAGATATCATAAGTTTCTAATTTCCTATTACTCTATAAAATATTTTACAAAAAACGTAGTTGTTGCAATCCAGTAACCGGAGTGTTTTCTGTTTACCAGAAAGCCATGGAACTCAAAGCTTACCAATTTTTCGACCAACGGAATGATGGTGGATGATAAATCTTATAATTTACAATTTATTCCAAAATGTAAATAAGTATTTACAGTTTTATATAAAAATAAACACAGAAAAAAGAAGAACTCGAGATAACATTTTATCATTTATCGCGCATAATAATGTCTTCTACTAATAAATTCACTGTTCACGACATAAATTGAATGCGCAGATTTGACTGACTTTCCTAAAAAGATATGATATTTAATGCACTCATATATTACGCAATTAAATGGCACGCTCATAATTTTTATCTTTATCTTGACTGTGTAATAAATTCTTACACAATTTGTTTAGGACTTACGAAGAGCTTATTGTAAATCGCAGTTTCTTTGTTTAAGATAAGATTAGCTTATAAACTGATAATTTTTTTGGAGAAATTTCAGCTTCACTAGAATATAAAAAAATAAATTTCTGTTCAACGTAAGTGTGAGATTTATAACCAGCTTTTCTAAAATTTCAAGGAAGTGATTCCATAAAATTTGTAATGCTGAAATGCTTGGAAAAGCAAAACAGAAACAGATTGTTCTGGAAATTAGAAATGGATTGGTCATGTTCTACGTAAACCTAAAGAGTTTAAGAGTGAGACAAATTTTCAATTCGAACCCTCAGGGCAATAGAAAAAGAGGAAAACCTAAAAATGCTGGGCGCAGGACGATTGTAAAAGAATTGAGAACTATAGGGAAGACATGGAGAAAGGCAAAATATCTGGCACAAATAGAGTGAGATAGAAAGCTATGATAGAAGTCCTACGCTCCAATTCGCAGTAAAGAGGAATAAGTATGTGTATGTTGTCTGAAATATTTATTTAGTTTAAAAACTTTGCGGCAGGCCTTAAAGTGAGACGGAAAAGAGAGAAAACTGGTAGTAGAATTATTTCAAATTTAGATAATTTTTGAGAGAAGTAAATTTATCTTTAACAATAAACAATTCACAGCTATTTAAATTTTCTTAGAAAGGAAGCAATTCAGTATATTGATTGTATTCGTTAAAAAATTGGTAGTTACGAATATTTTATTATTCCCTAAAAAATTAAAAAATAAAATTAATTTGTTACTAGTTTTTACACTTTTCCGTCTTGACATATATAGATTTTCAGCCCTGGTTAGGTGGCATTATCTAGGCCATTTAGGCCTCAGATGCCCAGTTCTACAACAACGAACGAACGAGCTGGCATTATTGCTGAAATAAAAATAAAAAAAACGAAGCTTGGGATTAGCTGATATGTGGGTGCTACATCTTCTATAGTTAAGTGAGGATAGATGAAATTTCTAAGAAGAAAAAATAATAATTTTGCTAACTATTTCCCAGGGAAGCTTATTTTCGATTTTGTAATCTTACAAGCAGGGAATTAATAATATGGTCTTTCACCAGATATTAATAAATCAAGTGTACAAACACCTGCCTACTGGCCAGGATAGCCAGGTTTGCAGGGAGCTGGACTCACGTTTGTGTGAACCGGAGTTCGAATCCAGACGGCCGAAGACTCCCGTGTAGTAAAAGATGACTGGTGCACGTTAAATTTTTCGGGTCACAAAGTCCTCCACGTTCCCAAAACAAATCGATACCTCTGGGTGTGCTGAAATGGAGATTGATCATTCTCTGGTTCAGGTCAAAACTACGATCTGTGGGCTTATGAATGGGTCTGCCCTATAAACGGATGTGACGTATGGGTGTGGCAGAAGTTGAATTCATGGCCATAGATGGCGCCACTTGAAAACAAGAACAATCGCACCCCCTATGCATAATGGCCGACAACAATAACAACACCTGCCTACTCTCCTAATACAGTGTTGCTACGGGAGACTAAGAATACAAAGAGTAGTGGCTAACAGGAGTTCCAATTTTCAACGCTTTTTGTAAGAATTTACATTTATATAAATTGTATTTTTTATTCAATAAAACTATATATATATATATATGCTTGACATCAAC